ACAGATTATTTATTTGCGAAAAAACACAATGACCGTTTGGGAAGACAATTACAACATTTGAAGGAAATTATGAGCACTTCTACTTGGTGTTCTGCATGTCTTTACAATACATAGAGTGACAATTTTCAAAATAAGTTTTATCAAAATGGACAATAAAAACGAACGAAGGAACACAAGAACAGCGTAGAATTTTTAATAGTAACAATCACTGTGTTATTTCCGGCGATTTTATTTATTTTACATATATTTTTACAATCATGGTTTACGTCAGCTCAGACGACTATATTTAACTAGTTTTTAGTACAACGTTTTCTGCAATGCCAATCAAACACAATGAAAATGTTATACTTTTTTACACTCAATAACTAGAAACATTTTGGCACCTACAAAAATAGTTTAACTTTTTTGAAATCTTACAAACTATGATTGGTGTGTGATGTGATTAAATTTTTCTTAACAGATCACGGACACGAAAGGGTTCACCAAAATGTTTCTTAAGTAGTGTATACTCAGTTAAATCACCAATGACTTCCAATCGTTGTAGTGTCTTAGATGACGGTCTATGTGCAGCAGCTTGCACTAATGGTAAGACTGGATACGAACGAGACTTGATCAAGTCTGTAGGAAGCCCAATAATAAGAAATAACTTACAAATAACGCCAGTAGAATTACATACTTTACAAAACAAACCGTGCCGAGAACCCTACCACGACTAATCTTATGAATGTCAAAAATGATGGAGATCTTTATAAACCTAATAATTTCGAATTAGAAATATCACGGTGGGTTGGGCGCGAACGCTACAAAATCGAATAGAAGAGTAATAAATGAGTCAGACCCAATTTAACTGAGCATATTCTGAATACATATGAATACAATATAGCTACATCAAAGTATTGTTTTCGAAAGACATCATGAAATAAAGTGCGTACATTTCGTCAGTAATATGTATTAGATTATATTAATAACTAATTGCACGAGTGTCTGGTACACGGTTTTGTGACACTAACCGTCAGTCTCTGTATTATAAATAACAACATGTGAACAATTATGGACTCGGGAAAGTCCCCGAGATCTAAGCAGATAGTGATCTAACACGGCAGTAGATGTCGCACACTCACTGGATCCTTTTTGCTATAACCTACATCGCAATCTTGTAGATCTACGCGCCAGGAAGATGGATATTCGTTGTAAAAATAAAATCTAGAGCACCTGTTTTCTTCTTATTCTCTTGTATATAACAATTTGAACGTCGATAGTTCAATAACTCTGTTTGTGCGAATTAGTGCAAAACTCCTATCTATTATTGCAAATGTATATTATATAAATATCGAACTTGTGATCAACGTAAAACCTATCGACGTACAAAATAGATGATTTTGCGCATTTTCTCGAGTAAATGAAGTCTCTAGGTTTAGCTTGTTTCTTTTCCAAACGGATTTATCCTCAGCACCAGCTTCCATCCTCATGTAGTTCACGAACAATAACTTTTTAACTACGTCTTGCGTATACATCGCACTAACATTTATATACTTTTTATATTTATGAAACCACGTGATTTTCTTTAATTACTATTATTGTTTAAATATTGGATTATCGACATTGTTAAAAAATATCTTCGGGGTGGGTTTGTATAGTGAGTGTTGTTTTTCTTCACAGTTTATTGACTCCACAGGTTGCCGAGGCCTTTCGGTTTGCCGGCCAGCCGTCAGCAATACTGAGCTAGTGATTGTCCAACCAACAACTGAAGCCACCCTGCGACTAGCATGCTCAACCACCACCAACAGTAATGTGCAAATTTCATTATTGTCTTGTACGTTTTCTTAATTTTTTTCTTCAACAAACTACTAAATAATTGAATGATAATTTTGCTATTACAGAAATTAAAAAATCATTGTTGATTGGCAGGTTAACTGGTTTTTAAAATGTCATTGGATTGAAAAAATATATTAGGTTGATTTTTTCGGTGCTAATGGTTACAAATTAAACCTCACAATAGCTTCGGTATTGTAAAGATATTGTTAAAGTACTACAGATTTTTTGCACATTTTGTAGTTATGTCTATTTTGTAATTTTCTAAAAGCAGGTTGTCACTGAAAACATCTACTGGAAATATTTATACATATCTGGTTAAAATTTTTGGAGGATTAAAAACCGAACAACCAATTTATTTTTTTCATGTTGACATTACGCATTAAACTAAATTTTTCATGGTTTCGAAAATAAGAATTTAAATTTCAATAAACAAGATAAGTAAAATACACATTAGTTTGGACTGAATGTCGCCTGATAATAAACCGGAAGTGTTTTGAACATTGATATTAATTAATTTAATTTCAAAAGTTTTTTATATTATTATTATTGATTCTGTTACTATACTTTTGACATTACTCTGTACAACTTTTTGCCTTCTTGTTATTTATCTTCACAACAAATTAAATTAGTGAAAGAGGTCGCGCGAAAACAGCCCATTTGAACATAGTTAATCTACATCTCCCTCCAAAATTTAGAAAGGATCTGTCATTTTTTCAACAAAAATAACTTGCAGAAATATTTCCAGTAATAATATTTTGGACTCCCTGCGTATCAAGCAAAAAAAGAGGTTTCTGCATTGACCTTAATTTATATAGTTAAAAAAATGTCTCATGAACGTAATTTATACGAAGTTAATTACTTAATTTTTGTGCTCTTTTATTATATTAAGAAAATCAAATCCGGTGTTATGAAGATAACCTTATGAATATACAAATTTTTAGGAGTATAAAGTTGTTTAAAAAATAGTTGCATGTGGTCTAAATTTAACAATTTGCATCATGATTGAATTTTTATTGTTTGTATTAATATGTTTTACTGCAATGAAAAAAAAGAATGCACAGTGTGAATGAAAAAAAACTAAACAAAAGTTAAAAAAAATTATATATTACTTTGTGAATCGCAAGCATACAAATTGACAATATCAAGACGTATACATTTTGATGCGCCGAGACCGTTTATTTCCTTTTTGCTTCAAATGTAATGGTATATTTTTTACAACAGAATTAAAACAGAACTTTATTCTGATTTTAGCAGTGTAATAATTTTAGCTTATTTTAAACAGTTATTTAGAAAAATGACAAAAAAGAAATTGAATTCCAAATGTACAGTAAAATCAAGTTTGGTTATTTTAAAACAATCTGCGTATTTAGCAAAATGCAAATATAGTCTGGGTCTTAAAAATTGATTCAGGATGATCTTTTCTTTCGTACCAATAGTTTGCAACAATGTTCACAAAATATTTAATTTGTCCAAATTCGTTTTAAATACTGTAAATGTACAAAATTTTCTTTTATCTTGACAAGTAGTGTCTTTGAATTATTCTTAGTTACTATCCTCAATACTTTAATAAAACCATGCGAAGAGGTCTTGTTCCAAAATCGACAGAAACGTTTTAGAATTTGAAAAAATACGCTTTGAAGTGGTGTTTGAAAAAATAATAATTATATTTCAACAACAAAATTGGCTTTAGATTATTATACATAATATAATCTATACGATTGTGGAAAAAAATCTTGCAAAAGAAGGATAATGTTAGTCAATTTTGTCTTACTGCATTAACAAAAATGATAACAAAAGTTCTATGTCAAGATTTTAAAGTATCTTATTTTTAATACCGTGTGATCCTAAATGACTGAGTCTCTTGATAGTACTTTCTAAACAAACATGTCAACTTTTCTTGCGTTTATGCTGGCATAACCGAAGTAATTGTGTGACAGATACGTCAGTCGTGACCACGGCCATCGTGACATGCAATAAATTTAGGTTATGGGTTATGGTTTGTATACATTTTGCAATTAAAAATGTCAACTATCTGTCAGTTGAGCTCACTCACTCATTTCTGATCATACGGTAGATATCTATAAGGACAGAATAGTTTCAGATTACTTTATAATCGATTTCATAAAAATTATTTTCAGCTGTAGATGGTGTACTTCGGATATTTATTGAAGAATATGTTAATTACATGTTAAAAATTGTTTCCAGACTACCATTTCTCTGCATAAATTACGTTCATTTTTTTAAGGATAAATTAGTAATGGTCTCGTTATTACTGCTCTTATATAAATAACCAAATAACCTTTTTTTAATATCTGAAGTAAGTTCAGAGGACAACTTTAGTTTAAGGTATAACTGTTTAAAATAAAATGCAGTTTGCAGTATATTTCGCATTCAAAATAAAACAACTCTGAATTTATACTGAAGTACATCAGAACATTTGAAGCAGAAAAGATGCCCGCCGACTATTAAGTAGGAGTCAAAATATTACCAACTTAATGTTGTCAAAATATGATGGACCGTATAATTTTTGAGAACTTCATATTTCATTTAGTCACTTTCTATTTTTCATCTGATGGATCCCAAAAATACATTATTATAAACAATCAATTAATCAATTGACAATAAAAGATTTTTTATTTTTAATATTTCACAGTACTCAAGTTTTGAAAATTTCACATGCAACTGGCTATTAACCAACTTTTTTTGTTTATAAAATCTTTTTGAAAGATGAACTAATTTTATAAATTTAAATTGCAAATCAGTCTACTTAATAATAATAATTTAATAATTATTCTTGATAAAACAGTTTTTTTTTTTAATTTTATCTCAACACAATTTGAAATAATGAAAAAACAACAGTCGACTAAAGCAAATTGTTGCCATATCGGGACACTTAATTGTAGTCTAACTGTGACAATTTTAACATCTACATTTTATTTGTTGTAGTTATAAAAGTACGAGCAGGTTCCATAACAATAAAGGTTCGGTTTTTACATATACATAACTACTGTGTAATTTTGTGTGATGACTGATGATTTACTAATATTTAGCAAAATGCTGTTTTGGATATTTAAAACTCGATTTAAAATGTTCACAATTTTAAGTTTTTCTTGATAGTTAGCTTCTCTGGTGGGGTACAGCAGAACTGTTTCCATTACCCAATCGGTCTACACCACAAACCCCACATAAACAAACCCATATTATTAAAAAGATATGTACTGATTCATGCTCGCTCGAAACCGAAATCTCCGTGGCGAGCATGCAGTCGAAGGGTGGCCATTTAGCATATACAAAACATGATTCGGGCCTTTGTGGCCCCATCCGAACAACATTTATGTACGTAACAAACAGTAACACGGTAGGCCAAGTTGAGTTAGTTCGGTAAATGTAACTAGATAAAACGTAGACGACGCGTCCGAGTGACCCTGTAAAGTGAGCGTATTGCTGGCGGCGGCAGTAACCGTACGAGGAGGGAGTGCAGAAGGTCCCTTGGGAGTTGAAGCCACCATCAAACACTGTCCACGCTGGCGTAGCGCTCGCCGAGCTCCTCGCACACGTGCTGAGGCCGCCTGGACGAGCCCGACGGGACGGGCAGCTGCAGGGGGCGGTGGACGCCCCGTCGACGCCGTCGTCGCTTGCGGTGACACAGCACGCACAGCAGCACCAGAACGAAGAGTATGGCGGCGATGGCGCACACGTATAGCACCGTGTGATCCTCCTGGGGCGCCTCCACCATGCCTGCACGCAAGAAAGAGATAAGAATGGAGGCGGCGCGGGGGCGGCAAGCTACGCTCTGAACGGGTGACGGTGATGCATGCAGTGAAATGGGGTGAGACAAAGCCTTACTAGACTACAAGCCGGAATGCAGCGATGGTGATGTCACAAGTGAAGCAGGGCCGAAGCATTACGTCGGCCAATACCATACAGATGTGTAGTATACAACGGATTTGTAATCGTTTAATTAAATCCGCAAACGCCATGGTCTTTAGCTTGAAGAGGAAAGCTTAATTTTTTAGTACATTGCTAATACAGCGCATACACATAGTGTCGACAGTCCTGACGAAAATCTATATTTCTTTAAACTGCAACGTATAATTTTTTAACTGATTTTGATAGATAGTTAAATTATTATGATCACATAACACTAATGTGTGTTGTATTAGTTTTAATTGTAAATAAGATGTAGATGGCACACAGTACCTACCGTAGAAAGACAATTATTCTTAACTTTTAATGTAAGAAATCGTGGACTACAAACAGTTTTCTTTGCTGCCTGTTGAAAATAATTTAATTTTTCTAATTTTGAAAAACTTTTATGATGCAAATTACATCAGCTATAAGTGTTCTACTCCATGACCAGCCTGCAGTCCAGATTTAAACCACATTAGATTTCTTTTTGTGTTGATATATAAATGATTTAGACGATAAAAAAATGAATTAGAAATGTTTGTGCCTGTTTAACGCCTGATATTATATAACCGTAAAAAGTTATGAAGAAACAAGAAGTTTTGTGTTCAATGCGAAGGAAGACATTTCCAATACATGCTTAAATAACTGTCTTTGAAATAGATCTTACTGGTTGTTTATAAAATAAAGTAGCAGTCTTAATTTATCGTAATTTAATGATGTATCAAAATCTGTGAAAATAATGATTTTTTTGATTAGATTTTGATAGACCATCGAATTACTTATATATTTTTAAAAAAATATTGGAACGATGTTAAACCACAAATAAAAGAGCACGTCACACTATAATTTTTAATTAAATTTTAATTAAATCAAATTTTTGTATCATGTTTTAATTTTGAATTTTTTTTCAAAAACATATGGTTAAAAATTAAAGTGGATAAATAAATTACATTTTAAGAAAAATATGACTTTGCACATTTTGAACAGAATTTACTTAGCAAAATTTTGAAACAACGTCACCAGTGGGGACGGTCAAACAAATTTTGGTTAGTATTTTGCCATCTAAGTATTTACATGATATTTTTAAAAGACAACTAAAATTTCACAATAGTCTGTCTAGAAGTCGGAGACTATCCTGTGTGATATCGCCATCAGACGATAGAGCGAAACGGGTCACCTAAGGTTTCTTATTCTAGAAGTTACAAAACGCCGATAAAACATGAAATTAGATATTCGTCAAATGGACTCTATTGCAACACTTACTAGTGAAAGTTGTAAAAGTAAAACGTGTAACGGATAACGACACAAAAAATCGAAGATTTAAAAAAGGAAAAATTGATCAGTTCCTTTTTGAAGAACTAAATAGAAATAATAAAAATAATTATGCGTTTGTAGTGTTCATGCAACCTTTTTATAATTCTGTCATTTTTGGGGTGGCAGGAGCGGTACAACGCGACGTGTTTAAAAATTAATCTAAGGTTATTTCAATAGAACTTGCCTCGCCCTTGAAATTAGTATAAAAGTTGTAATACAATTTCAATTTCTTTATGAAAATATGGATGCTTCGAGAAAAACCTCAAGGCGGATTCGTAAACTACAAATACAGCAGAATGTTATTTTATAAGATTTAAATCCTGTTTACTATGAAATATTTTGAGTGGACGTCATCAAACATACACAGACAAATCTGTCAGAAATATGTTAGAAATATAAAAAAATCTGCATTACTGCATCCACTAGTATCGAATATAATATAAATATGGGTTTCTACCTAGAGATTGGAACGTAATATTAATAACTACTTCCGATGTGTTCTGAACTGTTTTCTTTTGAATCTATTAAAAGTACCTTTTTGGTGTATTATAAACAATCCAGTCATTGAATTTGGTAGTTCAACGTGAAAATCAATATGTTTATATCAAGGAAAACTACTTATGATAAATTAGTTTTAAAAATATTGTAACCACATACTACAGTTCCACAAAGACTGACTATCAGATTTATTGATTCGGCAAATACATATAATACTGCTGAAGTTAATTTTGCGTACGTGTCCAAAAAATACCTGCAGTTCTTATCAATAATTGTATTACTCTCTGCAGGAACCCTTTTTTGTCCTGAAAAAAATTTGGTTTTTGGTTTATGTAATGGCTTGAAGTTTGATACGTCTCTTTAAGCGTCTAGAGAGATCTCAGTATGTACGATGCCATGCATGGTCATCAGTTTAGGTGTAGGTTTAAGAAGAAATTTCGTAACTCATTTTGTTAAGTTTATGTATGATTTTTGATTTATTTGGTTATTCTATAATAATAATAATTATACCTCAGTCTGTTGGATGTCAACAAATATTATTATTTGCATTAAAAATGCGTTTTTATGCCTCCTAAAATAATTGGACCCCATTTCGCCTCTTACTCATCTCGGAAATAGACATTTTTTATCTTCTATCTTGAAGTACATAGACCAATTGCTTGTTTGCAAGTTTATAGTTTATAATTCTGTATCTTGTATTGAGTGGAGCTTCAATAAAACATCTCATATAGCGTTTAGGTCAATATTTTGTAATTTCATAAGTATTATTTGTCATTTTGCTCAAATTGATTTTTCCCAGTAAAATCCGATAAGTAACAACACAGTCTCAAACAAATTGATTTGATAAATAAATTAAATCAATAAAAGAGCGTCTATTGTGATTAAATTAAATTAAAAAGGAACAAATTTTGTACGTTGTACCTTCAGCAAATAAAAATTAATAAAATAACTTACATTAAAAAATAGACTCTTTCTGTAGTAAGTCCAAAACTCTGTGGAAAGTATTTAATAATGTACGAAATAAAAATTCTAAAAGATAATGCGAGCTGTAATTTAACTAGTGATAATTTTATTACTATTTTTATTTATATTTTTTGTGAATATAGCCTCCAAAAATATCAAAACAGTACCTCTTATTAATAGTACAGACCCACTGACTTTAATGTGTAATAGTTGTTGTGAAATATTTTCTATAGCTCCTTTGTTAAATATGACGTAATATCTAGTGCTAAAGTACGTTAAATCATTGACATACTTCCTAATTCTAATTGTGCAGATGTATATGGCTTAAGTGTTCCGATAGGTATATAATTAAATGTGTGAAAGATATTTCAATATCACCTATGTCAAATCTGATAAATTTATGTATACAGAGTCATCTCGGTTTCCAAGTTGCCGAAAGATTTCTAAGGTTACTATTGTATTTACAAAAGGTGACATGAATAATCCAGGCAATTCTCGACCCATCTCCCGGGTATCTCAAAAATCAATCAAAAAATATTGATTGTAAAATAATATCTTCATTTTTAACAAACAGACAAGAAAGAGGAAATTTTAATTCTCACAGTTCAAAGACGTTACCTTTAAAGTATGTAGTACCGCAGGGTTCAGTATTGGGCCCGCTGTTATTTTGATCTTTATCAATGATTTTTCCTCTCATATAAGTGAAACAACAATATTATTTGCGGATAATGTGACCATATTACGGAATTACAAATAAGAAAATAATTGCGATTTTTAATTAATGCATAGCCTACTTGACGAATCCTACTATATTAATGTCATGAACAGTAACTAGCTGTTTTTTTTTTGAGTTTGTGTAAGATATTTTGTTGAATTTACCAAAACACATGTTAATATTTTATAGATTATGTAAATTATGCTATAAAAAAGATCATGAAATAAGTTATTGTAATGGTAAAATTATTATTAATGGAATAATGAAATAAGGTATACTTTAAGACCCATTGTGTGCTGATTGTAGAAATCAAACAATTTATTAGTGTTTGTGGGGCGTCAGTTTCAAAAGTGTAGAAATATCATTGTCAAACACTCAAAATTGTTTTCAAAAATTTCGAGCGGACCAGAAAATGTAAAACTTTTATTTTAAATATCGCAAAATTGTATCACATTATTTGATGGAAAGTTGATAGTCACTGAGCGACCTATTTGGAAATTTAACATTTTTAGCCACCTAGCTGATAACTACGTTTCGCCTAGCCAAGTCTACATAATACGTTAACATATTAGAAGAAATTCTAAGCAGATGAAGTCGTAGTGTAAGCGAGGCAAGTCACAACACTCGTTAAAAAAATTAACAGAAACTTCGTTGTTTTGTCAAATTACCCTTTTTATGAATATTTACTTTCCGGCTTTAATTTCGTCAATTTTAAGAAAAAGCATACATCTTAAATTTAAATCCTTACATCAGTGTTACAAGCGGTTATTTTGTGAACTTCGCTGAAAACATAGATTAAAATTGAATTCTAATTAAAAATATTTAGAAAATACAGCTTTAACGAGCCGCTTTCATGCCTCGTTCAACCACATTTGTGACGTCACAGCAATGGGCAAGCTCTGGACTCTGACTTGCAGGTTTGTAAGGCTTTGGGTGAGATGAGGCAGCGGAATAGTAGAGTAATAGAGACTCACGTGAGCGTGAGAGAAGCATGCTGTTCGGGGGGGCATCACGCCAGCCACAGCATCGGCAGCGTCGCCAAGAACAGTGGTGGCAGGAGGCTTAGGGGACGCGAGGCTTCTGATTCACCTGCACAAAAACCGACCTGCCACCACTCGCTCACAGATCAACAGGTACGAGAACACGGGGCATATTATGCATGATCAATGTTATTGCTTGTACCAGATCTTTCATTGTAGTGCTAGCTGTATTGATTTTACTATTATCAATTTTAGGAAAACGAAATGGAAAATTCTGCATTGAATATGAGTTCTTACTAAATAAAATTCCATGCCAAATATATTAATTTCAAAATATTGTTCTTCCAAATTTTTCATACAGAAATTTGACAGAGATTTAAGATTTGAGATCCTCTGAATAACTTTATAGGATGTTTAATAATAAGGTTCCTTAATCAACAAAAGTGTTTGTAAAGTTATAGAAAAAACTTTGTGGCAAAATGGGTTCACAACAACAGCCTAAGCTTAATTTGTCAAAATTTTGAACCACCACAGTAAGTGTCAAAGTAGAATGACATCAGGAACAAATTTAATGTGGATCTATGATGTGGATTAACACTAGTTAGAGTGTTAACTTATATTGTTACCATAATGTTAAATTATGTCTAAGATCACGTCTCTGAGTGTAACTTATAACAAGGTATAATTCTCTCTGAAAATTTTGAAGCGAAGGATACTTTTTGACACTAAGTTTTGTCTTCAAATTTCTAACATTATGATATTATTTCTTCTTTTAAACAAAGATTTTTGCTTGATGTAATGCTGCGCTTCTCAGTAAAAAAAATCTTGGAACAGGTTTGAAAATAGATATACTTACTATTTATTGCAAAAGTTTACGTTCATTTTCAGATTTTTCGATTCCTTCAGGATTTGGGAGTCATTTCTGTTATGCCAAAATTTTGCAATATTGCGTTAGGAAAAATGTTTAAAAAGTTTCAGTGCACATTATTAGTCAGATAAATAAAACCATATGATCAAAAAAAAGTCTTCTAGTAGGCCATTATTTTGTAAAATAATTATATTGGCATCACTAACGTGTCCCTTGTTTGTCATCATTGTTTTAAAAATAAGCTTCGTGGCCCTTTAGATGATTTTTTTGATGGTATTAGCATAATAAAAATGTGGTGATTAATATCTAGGCATTTGTATACCAATTTTATGCGTATAGAAGCTTTAGCGGTCTTGTTTTTTACTGTACTTTATTTATTGTAAGACCGTCCAAAACCATTTTGCAAAAAGTACTATTTTTTCAACTATATAAATAAATAAATAATAAATGATTTTTTACAGCTGGTACAAGCAATAGTAAGAAATTTGTACGATATTTACAACAATATTATGACACGTGTTCCCAAAGTGTATACGGTATTGGTCGCACATAATTAACAGTTACAATATCAATAATTTTAATTGCATGTATTTTTTATGTGCACCCAACTTGTTACTTATATAAATACTGCTATATATTCTGAAGTAATAAATTCTACTTTACATTAAAATGGAAAACTTTCGAAATATTTAATTACAAAGCAGCCACTACGGTAACTAATCATGACATTAGACGATTAATTTAAAATCTCATAAGTTATTTTTTATTTGTAGATGTCTTGTATAACAACGGCAACCATAATAACCAAAGATTTTATAGTAACTCCAGTCATTTTTTATTGCTATCTAAAAGCAAAGTTTGTAGTTGCTACATATGTTACCACTGTATAGCGCTTGATTATTATGGTAAAGTTGTTGACATCGTTGATGGTTAGTTACCGTACTGAAAGCAACCAGTACTGTTGGTGATATTGAAGTACTTTACAGCAACACAATAAGAGGAAATGAATTCCCTAGAACAAAATCTTGATTTGTCAACATAAAATGTACCATGCACTATCGCCTCTCAGCAATAAACCTATTCAAGTTTTCATATAAATTTCTTAACTAAGTACTCATGTGGCCGATTTCTCTTAAAAACCAAACCAATCAAACACGAAAAGTAAAAATGTTGAATAGGTATCTTACTAGGCAGTATAATAGGATAGATTTTACTGAAAAATCGATTTTGCTTATAATGCAAATTTGGAATAAGATACCATATTATTATAGTAACCATTGCGTCACTCACAGTCGGCTTCGTCAGAATTATCATCAGCTCCGCAGTTGTTGACCATGTTGCACCTCAACTTGTCCGGTATGCAGAAATCGTTCTTCTTACACTGAAACTCTTCACAGCTAGGACCCTCCTGAACTTCCGTCCAGACAACCTTAAAACCCTGTGCCCCCACAGCCTTGTCCGCCGTTACAAAACTACAAAAGAAACATTTCTCAAAACTTATAACAAGAGAAAATCAAATCGTAAAAATGTCCAATGGGACCTTGTTAAAAACTTTCACGGATTCGCACCAACTTTTTCTGAGTTAGGGTGTTTACCTAAATCGAACTGCATTAGACGTGGAAAGGTATTGCCATTTGTCTTCCGGTGCCTTTTCGCCGCAGAGTTCAACGGGCGCGCTTGACAAGTCGGTCCATAGTCGAAGGACGGCGGCCGGACAGCCACGACCTACAAGAAAACAAAGTCTTCAAAGTGCATGAAAACTTTTAAAAATGTTATTATCTTTATTATGTCGTCCGATATGTTTCCATTTTTACATTCCGATCGATTTGTATCAAAGAACTTTTATTTGTATTGTTTAGTAAGTATTTATATTGCAAGGTGCATAAGTTCAATAAATCTATACATTTTTTTATTATTCTAATTCAAATTTGTTTATTTTAGTATTTTTGACGTCAATGCATATTTTGTCTATGTTAAAAATTTCAGGTCGTAATGCCGTGCAATTTTTCAGATAAATAAATAGTAAACAATTCTAATGAAAGATCTTGAACAGAAACTTGGAGAAAGGATTAAAAACGCCAACAACGAAAATTGATCTTCGGGACCAAAAGAAATGTAAAAAAATATAAAGAACACCCATACTGAAGAGCATTAAATTGAAAGCGAAAAAGTATTACATGAGGAAACAAACATCATGGAAAGATGGAAGCAACATTTCTATGAAACTATTAGAAAGAAGAAAGAGAATAAATGCGAAAGAAGAACAGTGTAGGAAACGAGTAAACAACAACAACAACAAAAATCCCTGGACACTACCGAAGATATGTTAAAAGCATAAGGAGAAAGGATTGAGGCGCTATTACGGAAAATGGCAAACCAAGAAGATTGCAAAATTGGAATAATTTCTCCAGGAATGTAGCAACTGCAGAGTAACACACAGTATGGTAGAAAAAATTTGTGCTCGAATGCTAGAGAAAAGTTTAATTAGATCAACCAAAAAGGCATCAAGGCAGCAAAACACGTCAATTTGTTTTTTTGTATATCTAGAAAAAACCTTCGACAGAATAAATAGAGAAAACTAGTACTCTACAGAAAAGGGACACATAATATAGGTTACTGTAGAGACGATAAAATGGCTGTGCGGAGGAACAAAGACTACATAAGAACTAAACACAAAATTTACTAAGAGTAATTGAAATAACTGGACACGAAAACACTACTAAAACGAAATTACAGGAGGAAAAGGAGCTGTAGAGAGATTGTTTACAGCAACAAGAAACATTTCTGTATAAAAAAGGGATTCCCAAATAACTCGGGAAAGAATCTCGTAGAAAGTGGCTACACCGAATTTAACATACTAATTATAGGTTACATCTGAAAACCGGGTACATCATAAAAAATTGAAAACTAGAGTGGACACAATAAGAAATACTACATTTAGAAAAATTTATGTTTAACCAGCAGCTAAGGGTAGCTCAGACAGTTAGAGCATATGCTAAGAACGGGATGAACGAAAATAGTCAGAAGCAAGAACCACCAAAAGTGAACAACGATGTAGATCCAAGAAATCTTGAACAGAAGAACTCGGAAATGCAGATGTGAAGAGGAAATCGATTGAAACGAAGACAGATGACATGGGATAGAAAAAAATGGAGAGAAATATGAATATGCATACCTAGAAACTGACTCAACTCCCCATTTACACCTCAGAGGTCAACAAGGCTTTTGGATAAGTAATTTCTGTTGCAAAGACAAAACATCCTACAACTGTTGCCACTATGAATGAACGTAGAAAAGTAGTTCTGCTCAGTCATCAGAAAACGTTAAGTTTGTACTATGGAACGGGAACCTAAGAGAGTTTATTCCCTCCCATCTAAATGACTCTTTTTGTTGCTTTTTGACTTTCATTTTTAGGTAGTAATCAGAAATATGTCCCTCCCATTGCAGAGGTTTATACAAAGTTGGAAAAAATATCCGTGAATTCGTGAACACTGATTTGGGTGAAAACAATTTAAAAATATTTGCACTTTTATTTACGGAATTGAAGGTAAAGTTACATTCGAAAAAAATTCAACTTTTGGTTTTGGTTACCAGAAATTAATGGAGTTCAAAAAATTGGTCGAAGTTTATTTATTTACTTCCCTCGCGCCTGAAGTACAAGTCCAACAAATCCTGCTTCTTTGACAAATTATAAAAGTTGGATTTTGTTTTGTGATAATGTCTATTATTAAAAGTAGTGGCATAAATAACACAGTATAACTTTAAACCAAAGCAATGACCAGTTTTCGGATAGATTTGATTGTTTTTTTTTACTCAAAACAAGGTTTTCACTCATATTTGAAGAAAGACGATGAAAATAAGCACATATTCTTAATCAGGAGAAAATTTGCTACGAGATGGATTACTAATCGTAGAGTTGTGGCAGATTTTAATTTTGAGATCAAAATGGTGGAGGCGAGGGCTAATATTTTTAAAAACATATTTTTTCACTAATTTTTTGCGAGCTTCGTTAGATGAACATTTATCTACCCGTCCCAACAAAATATGAAAAATGAGTACGGGTATAACTTTAAACGATGACAATGACCAGTTTTCGGACAGGTTTGATTATTTTTTTTTACACAAAACAATGTTTTCATCCATTATTTGAAGAGAGTAGATGAAACTAGGCATATGTTCTTAATCAAGAGAAAATTTGCCATAAGATTGATCACTATTCCAAGAGTTGTGAGGGATTTTAATTTTGAGATAAAAATGGTGGAGGCGCCGGGATAATAAAATTTAAAATCGTTATTTTCATAACTTTGATGAAGCGTTTACTTGATTTGACATGCTATTGAATAAATTAGGGCTTTTTGAGTATTTTCACATACGATCAAAATAACAAAACAATTGCTGAATTGAACTAAGATAAATGAACCATTTTTGGAGCGACTTGTCCCATAGAATTTTTTTCAATACAGTTTTTTTTCGTTACTTTTGAACGCCTCGCTTGATTTGACATGTTATAGAAAGAATTCTAGGTTTCTTTAAATATTTTGACATTTGAAAACGATAACAGACTTGAGATTTGGGCAATTTTATTTTTGTATAAAAATGGTGGAGGTACCGCGGGGGCGCAAATTCCAAGGCGACGCGATCTGCATAAGTTCGGACAATGTTAATTATATTTAATGCAGATAACCAACGAGAAAAATGGTCTCTCAGCAATAATAGCATGGTTAACTTCCAATCTTTATGTTTATACATCGAAAGAATGCCATGTAAAAATTTTGTTAGATTTGTCACCTCAAAAAAAAGGACTAAAATTATTAATGAAGCTGCAATCGAAAAAAATGTTCTGAATATTATTACTATAATCTTTATTTTCTTTAGACATAATTAAATAAAGATGTGCGTATTCTCACATTTTCTCGAAAATGGGGTGATTGGTTTCCATCACATTCCATCAATAAAAAATTCAAGAGTGATTAATTTTATCAAATTTAGTTCATACAATAAAAAAAAATAGGTGCCGTCCGCCAGCTTTTTTGTAAACTCAGTCATGCTAACACTATTCCGTACTATCTGTCTAAAGAAGAAGATGGATTAAACAATAAACAAATCTAATAACAATAATAAACAAAATCAAGGTAGATTCGTAAACCACAAGTACAGAAGTATATTATTTCATACAATTTTGCTAATGTTAATTATGCAATATAATAGCCGGGATTGTCACTATGTTGGTGGGGATGATTAGTCAAATTTTGGTTAGCGTTTTACCGTTTACATGATATTCCTAATATATGTATATACAAAATTTTACAAAAATTGGTCTACTAGTTTCGGAGATTTTCTGTGTAACGACACAGACAGACAGATTTGCGGACAGACAGGTAGATAGACGGAAACGAAGAGGCCACTCTTATCACACTCAAGGGGTCATGGAAACGTTGAGAAAACATGAAACTAGCAAGTCGCCCAAAGGACTCGATTACTATACTATACTTAGCAGTAGCTCGGAAAGTCAAAGGAGTTCTATTATATTATTTTGTTTATAAATGTCTCAAATAGTTTAATGATGTTGCTTAGAATAGCTCAGTATCAAACAAACTTGATCAGATTAACAAGCCCCAAGTGGGGTGAAGTTAGAAAATAATACTAGGCAAATCAAAATGCTACAATTCTGCATCGAACGTCTTTTCCTTTGTTGTCAATCTTAAATATTTGCCTGTCGATTACTTCTGGATTACTGGTAGGTCTTAGAATAATAACAATAAACTTTTTATTGGCACATACATTGCTATGTACAGAACAAATTTAAACTAAACTAGGTCCACACAAAACTACCAAAACTTACTTACTTACTTTAATTACGTCAAAAATGTATTGATACACAATTTTTCTAAATTACGATATACGATAATAATCTTAACAAATTAGTTTTAGGTGTTAAAAAATAAAGTGAGCATGAACAGGCGACTAAAAAACAAAGTTTTAATTTTTCACAATTAAATAAGTTTTATCTATTTTTGATATATTAATCATATTGTTTTATTTCAAAATTGGGTGTAACCACTTTTAATTCCATTTATGCATACTACTCAAGTCGCATAATGCAATTAATAAAGAATCTACAGCCTAGGAAAAAATTTAAGACATACGCTGTGTTCTTTCTTTCCAAAAATTAATGACATCTTTTTAGTTACGCACATTTGAAATAAATACATGTTGCTCTATCACCTACGTATAAATTGTTTGCTGGATACCTTGCACCTAAAGAAAAGAATAAAATCTGTCTCTGTGGTATAACAATGCAGCATTGGTTGTACCTCAGATGCAAGGGAAGTTTGATTTAAGTAACTATAGATTACTATAATTTTAAAACGTAATAAAAAAATAAAAACCTTTGTGTAATTTATTTTTGTATTTAGAAGAATATATCGATTTGTATCAGCATAAACGAACACCAGAACTTAATGATGTCGATTTGTATAAGTTCTGTGCTCTGTTAGTTTATTGTAAATACACTTCACCTTCCATTACTTAGTACTGAAAAATGTACAATGATAGGCTCGATTAGTCACAGTTAATTTATAAAACAAAACGTTCAGCTAAGTCGTTGTTTAATTGAGGCCGTTGTAAAAGATGGCTCGCTTCAGCCAAAGTAACTTCTGTAAAGTACCACCAATTTAAATTTAATCGTCGAAATCCGCAAATAAATGGTTGATCTGCAGTTGGTG